ATTTCTGCTTTAATTAAAAAAAAAATTAATTATCTCATACTGGTTACACAGAGAATTAGTATCTTTCATCTGCAGTTACATTAAAAAGGAGGTAACTGGGCAACTACCTCGAGAAACAAAACCAGTTTTGCATATCAAAATATTTTCTAAAGACATCATGCAAATATAAGCTCTGTGGAGTTTTGAATATTTAGTATTTCCTTTTTAAGTCAGTGGGAAATGATCAACATCAACATTTTCAATTAAAAATAAGTACACTATTTGTTTCTAAAATGTACTTGCCCCCATACGTGCACTGAAAGCACTCTAGAACCTCTTGTCCTGAATTGTTGCAGATGCCAGAGGAATCGCAGTATCCTGAATGAAAGGTGTTTCTAGGTGCACTATTGTGTAATCCTATAGAAAAACTAACTGGTTCTGTGGAGGTAAAATTTAGTGTTGTTGACTGAAACACAAAAAAAAGAGTAAAGGACGAATCTTCAATGGTTCATAATGTTTAAGTGTGATTGTATTTCAAATAATTCAGCATTGGGTTTTCTAAATCTTAATTTTTATAGAAGTAATGTACAACTGAAAGGTAAAGAGAAGGGACAGATAGGAGGAAACAAAACAACCAGTCCTCATTGAAAAGGGAATAAACTTGAACAGCATAATTGATATTTTTTTACAGGCATGCTGAATGTTCAGTCTCTTAGCTTTTTTTGTAATGTACAAGTCCATGGGAGATCCTGAACCTCAAATCACAACAGTTCTTATAAATAAATTATGTTGGAGGTGGTCACTTCTCAAATTACGTTACAAAAAATGGTATTATATTCTGGTAATTTAACGATACTTCTACTTTGATAGAGTTTCATAAATTTAACATAAAAACTTAATTTGTTATTATCTTGGCTATGAGCAGTCTAAAATAACTCTGAAATTGAAGAACAACATGAAAAAATAAATTATAGTGTAACTGTCAAGGGGAAGAAGGGAACTGTGTAGCTTAGAAGTTACAAGGAAGTTTTTTTTTTAGGACTGCTGCAAAAGTCAGAAGGAACATTTTAGGAAACTTTCAGGTCATTCTAGAATGTGAATGTAATCCCAAAGGAAAGGATTATTACATAAGTTTAGGATAGACCAAAAAAAAATTATTTTGGGGCTAATATCTATGGCTGATTATTCAAAATAGAAAAAAAATCAAACAGTGTGACACGAAGTGAGGAATTGGAGAGAAATAACTGAAGCCTTACCAAAAATATGTAGTATATTTTTTATTGGTTTTATAACTTTCTAAAATTAGACTTGTTACTAAGGGAAACAGGAAAGAATTGTGATGCTTTGCATGGCTTGGGGGAAGGAAATTGTGCTTGTGGCAACATCAGACTTAGAAACCCATCAATAGGAGGAAGACGTTAGCAAACTGGATTTAGCGCAGAGAAGACCAGTGAAATAACTGAAACTGGAAGGACTGAGTGGGAAAGGTAGAGTGTTAAACGATAATAATAAACTTAGCAGCTTGAGTAAACTAATAAAAGAGTGATGTTGTGCTCAGTATTTAAAAAGACTAAACCCACAGAACCCACAGAACCACGGTCATAAGTAGGAGCAACACATAAATGTTTAAATTGAATATCAGGAAACTGTCCCAAGTATTATTCTAAGTAGGTTCAGTCTCCCAAAGGTGGTGGGGAAGCAATGGATCCCCTACCCTCTCACCACCAGACAGGAGGAGGGGACCTTAGCAACGGAGGGGAGTGGAAACAGGCTATTGCTTAGGGTGGCAGGCAAATCCCCTCCTGACCTACCTCACCTCCCCAGGTGCCTCTATACAATAGGTATGAGACCCTGAAATCTGAGGACCAGGGAAACAAGAATGTGGATGAAGGTGATTCTGGGATAGAGGGATCACCTAGGGCAGGGCAACCCACCCCCCACATCAGGACTTGCTCAGTTAAGAAAAAAAGAAAGGTAGTAGTCATTGGTGACTCCCTTTTGAGAGGAATGAAGGGCCTGCTATGCTGACTGGACCCAACCCATAGGGAAGTGTGCTGCCTCCCTGGGGCCTGGGTAAGAGACATCACCAAGAAACTTCCCAGTCTGGTACAGCCCACTGACTATTACCTGCTACTGGTTTTCCAGGTGGGCAGCTACAAAGTCCCAACAAAAAGGCTGCAGACGATCAGGAGGGACCTCAGGGCCTTGGGACAACTGGATGAGGGATCTGAAGCACAAGTAGTGTTCTCTTCTGTCCTGCCGGTTATAGGGAATGATGGGGCAAGAAGCAGGAAAACCATGCAGATGAACACCTGGCTTTGAGACTGGTGTTACCAGCAGGACTTTGAAGTTTTTGATTATGGGTCAGTTTATACAACACTGAGCCTGCTGGCAACAGAAGGGGTCCACCTGTCTCAAAGGGGAAAAAGGAGCAGTGCTCCTTGAGAGACCTTCAAACTAGATTGGAAGGGAAATGGACAGGACAGGGCCAGGCTCAACAGAGATAAGGTGTGGGAAGGGGAGAACTATAGTGACCACCTTAGTATCAAAAGGAGGCTTAAGAAGGGATACCTCAAGCAAGCACAAGCAGACAAAGATGTAACCGTGGGGCATCCCCTTGCACCCCTACTGGGATGTTGACACACGCAAATACTTCTAAAAAGTGTCTGTACAGCAATGCATGCAGTATGGGGAACAAACAGGGGGAACTAGAGATCTGTGTGCAGTCACAGGGCTTTGATCTCATTGCCATTTCAGAGACATGGTGAAATAGCTCATATGACTGGAATGCTGTCATGAAGGGCTACACACTGGTTAGGAGAGACAGATCAGGAAGGTGCGGTGGTGGAGTTGCCCTCTATGTGAGGCAACACATGGAATGTATTGAGCTCTGTCTTGGGGTGGATGATGAACAAGTCTGGGTTAGGATGAAAGGGCAGACTAGTAAGGGTGGCACTGCTGTGGGTGTTTGCTACAGGCCACCTGATCAGGAGGAGGAAGTGGATGAGGCCTTCTATAGGCAGCTTGAAGCAGCCTCACAGTCACAGGCCCTGGTTCTTGTGGGGGGCTTTAACTACCCTGACATCTGCTGGAAAAGCAACACAGCAATGCACAAAGAGTCGAGGAGGTTCCTGGAAAGCACTGATGACAACTTCCCGATACAGGTAGTGGAGGATCCCACAAGAAATGATGTGCTGTTCCACTTCATACTGACTAAGGATTTGTTGGAGATGTGAAGGTTGGGGATAGCATTGTGGACTTCAGTATCATGTGAGGAAGAAGTAGGACAGCAAGTAAGATTGCAACCATGGACTTCAGGAGAGCTAAATTTAGCCTCTTCAGGGATCTTCTTGGAAGAATCCCATGGGAACAGGCTCTGCAGGGAAGAGGGGTCCAAGAGAGCTGGTCAGTATTCAAGCATCCCTTCCTCCAGGATCAAGAACGGTGCATCATGATCAGTAAGAAGTTGGGCAAAGGGGGCAAGAGACCTGCCTGAATGAACAAGGAACTCCCACCATTACTCAAGCATAAGCAGGAAATACGCAGGAGACGGAAGCAGGGTCTGGCCACTTGGAATGAATATAGAGAGGTTGTCAGAGTAAGTAGAAATGAGACGAGGAAGGCCAAGGCCCATCTGCAATTAAATCTGGCCAAGGATGTCAAGGACAGCAAGAAGGGCTTCTTCAAAGACATCAATAACAAAAGGAAAACTAAGGATAATGTGGACCTGTTACTAAATCCAGGGGGGAACCTGATAACAGAGGATGCAGAGAAAGCAGAGTTACTAAACGACACCTTTGCATCAGTCTGCACCTACAAGACCAGACCTCAGGAATCTCTGACCCAGGAGACCAGGGTAAAGGAATGTTGGAAGGAAGACTTTCCCTTGGTCAAGGAGGATCGGGTTAGAGAATTCCTAGGAAAATTTGGCATCCACAAGTCCATGGGCCCTGACGGGATGCACCCATGAGTGCTGAGAGAGCTGGCGGACACCATAGTGAAGGCCACTCACGATCATCTTTGAAGGGTGGTGACGATCAGGAGAGGGTGCCTGGGGACTGGAAGAAAGCAAATGTCACCCTGGTCTTCAGAAAGGGCAAGAAGGAGGACCCAGGGAACTACCAGCCAGTCAGCCTCACCTCAATCCCTGGAAAGGTGATGGAGCGCCTTGTTCTGGGGGCCATTTCTATCCAATGGAAGACAAGAAGGTTATCAAGAACAGTTAGCATGAATTCACTAAAGGTAAATCATGCTTGACCAAGCTGATGCCCTTCTATGATGAAACAACTACCAGGATGGATCATGTTTTTGCATCTGTAGGATCATTTCCTGTAGGTTTCTTGTTGCTGCATGCTTTGGACTGCACGCTGTGCTTCAATGTTTGCCAAATAAACTGCCACAGGTTATGGGAAGAAACATTTTACAGCTACAATGGAAGCTTATTGACTCTGCTGCTGCTGTTATATGAATTATATATGTTTTAAGAGAAAATTGCTCCCTCAGGGGAAGGCATTGGGGTTGTTTTGCCCTGAGGAGAGAGTTAAGACATTTGAAAGGAGCCTCCAGAGGCATGTCATAGATCTTGAATTTGAGTATGTTGAAAGTAGGATTATGGATGTTGGAGCAGGTGTTGTGGTTATATTTTGTTCAAACTCTGTATAAATTTGTGCTTTAAACTGGGAGATCCCATGGGAGGGTTGAGTAACCTCTTATTGTAATAGGAGGAAGTTCTAATGTTTACGATTAATCGCTGGTTGCAGACATGTTCATGCAAATTATGTCTGGTACCATAGTGGCTAAGAAATACCTGAAATCAGAAATTCAAGAGGACCCCCCCCCCCTCCCAAAATTGTAAATCTGCAAAACAGTTTTCTAGAGTTTCCCATGTTTCCAACCACTATCTCCTTGCTTTGTGTTCCACTAATAATGAAAGCAGGATTGCTTATAAAGCAGAATGGTTGAAACATGACATTATGCTTTTAGCTTGTAATTGTTTTCTTTCCTTCCCCTAATTACAATAGGACCATGGAAAAACTCAGTAGAAGAATGGACTGCAGAAGACTGGAATGAAGATGTAAGTGTGCCTTGTTAGACTTATTGATTATTTACCCTTTTCAGAGTTTCTGTGTTGTCTTCAAAAACTAAATGTTTGAAGTAATACTTTGTATGCATGCAGTGATATTTCTTACTGTGTTTCTTGCTGTAATTCCTGTTTAAAATACATATATTTAGATAAGTTTATTTTTAAAATAAAATCGAATCAAGAAATGTTAATTTCTTTTTGCTGGGTGGACAATACATAGATTAAAAAATTTTAAGTTTTATCCCAAGTTAAGTATTTGTGAATTATAATTCTACACTGCTCAATGCTGATGGGTGTTAACTGCATACTTCCCCCTACTATTATGTGAGGATTTTAAGCCATATTATCACAAGACTTTTATGGAATTAAGTGCTGAAGTCTACTATCAACTTTAGACTCCTCGTTTGATGCTTTTTGTTTGAAATCTTCATAATTGTTCCATTTAGTCCACTTCATGTTCATAATCTTAAAAAAGGAGTTAGCAGTATGCTGATGTTGGCACTTGATTGCTTCATTCCTGTTGCTTCATCATGATGTGTTGTCTAAAGTACTTACAAGAATTTTGGTTCTCATTCTTTAATAGGCAAGAGATGTCTTCATGTCTGCAAAATAATTGACATTTGTGATCATCATGCATGAAAATTGCATTTGTGATTTTAAGTTTTCAGTTATATTAAAGCGTAAGCAGTTTAGAAAACAGACTAGATAGCAAGAAATGTGGAAAGGAAAACAGCTTTTAAGAAGTCTTTCTTTTTTTATATGAACATCCATTATTTCAAGTTTATTTTCAGAAGAGTAAGAGATTGTCTCAGAAGTCATTCCTTTTGCCTCCTCCTGTAGGTTGGCATGTCAGTGTTATCCCTAGAAATGTGTGAATGTGTCATGTAACAGATATGAAAACTCCATTCTTACCTAACAAGAGGGACATGTCTTTCGAGAAAATGAAAAGAAATTCTAAAATTCGTAGGTTTTCTGTATCAGTTATTGTCCTCAAAAACTGACAGCTATTTTAAACCTGTCCTCTATTTCTGCAGTTTATGCTAGAAATAAACTAAGGGCTAAGGATAATGAAAAATTATGGCCTTGTTCTCACCCTTGTTTGCTGGTACAATGCAGCATTTGTAATACAGGAGGGGTGTTGAGCAATGCTGACTAGGTAATTAACTTTTAAACCCAAGTAATTTGTACATGAATCTTGAAGGAACAGCAAATGAAATCTCTAGCCTGTTGTTAATTTTTATTAATTTTGGTGTGCTGGAAAAATCCCTGTAACATAGGAGAAAGTTGTTCATGTGCTGATGATCAGAAAGAGTGAATGAAATAGCAAGCTGCAGACAAATTAGCCCAAAACATCCCTGGGGAAAAAATAAAGTAAAATTGATTCATCAGATTAAAAAAAAAAAAAAAGGAAGCGCAAGAATGCAATGCAGGTTGTGTCATTCAGTGTAGTTTTATGAAAATAGGTTCACTTCAAATAAACCTGATATTGGTCTTAAAGTAAATTACAAGTTAACTTTGAAGATAGAGTATGTCCTTGTAAGAGATTTAATCTACATCTTTTCTTCTAAATATAATTACATGTTTTCATGAAACACATTAAGTGGATTGAAATCTGCCATGCAAATTTCAGCCAATAATCTTTTGCAGGAGGGCCCTTATTAAACATGAGCATTTCTAGGAGGGCTATAAAGGAATCCAGTCCCAGCCCAGATGCAATCTAGTGTCTTTATCAATGATTTGGAAGTAAAAATAAGATCACTGCTGAATAAAATGTATGGAAAATAAAAAAATTATTGGAATGCAATTAAAAGTAAACCAGTCATACAGAAATCTGGACCTCTGCTAGACTTGACCTGTTCAAACGAAAAATACTTTAATATAGCCAAGTGCCCATTTGTTTAATAGGAATAAAGGCACACCTCCAGAATAAAGGACTGGTGTCTAGAAAGCAGCAACTGAAAAATTTTCAGCATTGTAGCAGATGATGAAAAAAGAACGGTCAGCATGATCTCCTAAAGGGCTGATGCTGTGACAAAAAAATCCTATTGTAGTCTTTTTGACCATAGTCACTCTTCCCTGTCTCTTAATCATTCTTGATTTATATTTTTGTATGTGGACTCTCCTGAACTTGATTCTGAAATACTACATCCAATTTTTCATTGCTTTTACAAAACAAAAAAAGTGGAAAATATCTGGAAATATTTACTGATAGTATTGGTGTTTGAGAGTGAGATTTTTAGTTTACTGAATCTGAAAAGGTTAGCATATGATGGGCTCTTGTTTTAGTCTAGCAGAAAAAGGCATAATATGAACCTGTGGCTGGAAAATGGAGCCATGCATTTAAATGTATAGTAAACAATTCTAGCAGCATGACTAATGATTGAAACAACCAAGGAAGTTGATGTATTTGCTGTCTGCAGGTAAAGACCAAGTGTTTTTCTGAAGAATATTTTTGTTTAAATGTTGTGTTCTCTAGTCAGATACAAGTTAGGTGCAGGTGAGTGAAATTTCATGTTGTTTGACCTGAGAATGATTTGATTTGTGACCTAATAGTCCTTTCTGGTATTTATCTTTAGTAGTGAGTATTGAGTGAGTATAGTAGGTTGTCAGCATGCTAATTAATAGAGGAAACTACTTGCAGTGAAAATAGGAAGTTGTATAGACAATGAAGGACCAGACAAATATTGAACTTCTGTAGATGGCTCTGGATTTTCCTCTTAAAATTGTGATTATATTCTCCCGGCTAATTAAAATAAAGTTTAACTACAGAAAGTATCAGAAGAGGAGAAATACAATACATACAAACTGCTAGAAAGTGGATAAAGGCAAAATTTTTCTGTACAGTATTGGTAGTCTTAGTTTTTATTTGAAACAATGGTAACACTTTAAAAAAAAATAACGTATTTTAGTGGGAGTGTTTCCTTTACCAGGAAGCAGCGTGAGAACTTGTTTTAATTTCTTTACCTTCAGTACATCATATCAAAACACTAATAAGGTTTTGTTATTTCTGATTTGTTGCTGTTGAGTTTTTATGAGAATGCCAGAGTATATTTTCCTGTGCTACTCACTTATCAACTGGTCATAGGAGCTGATAGCTAGTTGTTAAATATATTGTCTGTTTGGTGATTGAAGAATTATTTTTATCATAGAAACAGGAGCTGAAAAGCACAGGCATTTCACTGCAGATGACAGAAATACCCTTGTGAGGCCACTGCTTGCAAATGGTTCACAACTGTTCATTCAGTGTGAACATGCCAGAGCTTCAGTGGAAGATTTGCTAGTGTAGTGTACAGTGAGCATAAATAACTTTGTTAGGAGTTGATATTACTTCTAAGAAATGCTAAAGACATCTGTGTAATAAAGCTTTTCAGCTTCTGCTGCACGTTTTGACAAATGCTGTAATCCCAGCAGACTTCTGAATTAGATGCTTGATTGGAGTTTGCGGCAGTGAGTTTGCCACAGGGTGTAATGTAAACTTCAATGTAGCCAAGCCGGTAGCTGGAGATGTCTATTTTGCATGCTGGTTCAGTTGAAGAGAACATTTTCTCTCTCACATCGAGCATGCTTTTGCATTGTCACAAACATCCTCAGGCTCCTTGATTTGATTAGTTTTCAGGATTCATCAATGTTTTGACCATGGTTAGTCTTATCCTGGGTTTTGTGAGCATAAGAAACTGTTGACATTACTAAGAATTTGCTATTTAACCAAAAGATTGCAAACCATAGGCTGCTGCTTGTGCCATTAACTGACCTTGTGCCATATAATGCAGGAGTCTCATGACACCACAGAAAGTACAGTACACGTTGTTCTAAAATAACACATATGGTGGGGAAAGGGCTGAGCAATAGAGAAATAGCCTTTTTAATTGGAAATATGCTTGAGCTGAATCTTCTTTCTTTGTTTTGGTCAGTACACAGAGTTGCGGGCTGGCAGCATTATGCACAGAACAAAGTTGGGTTCCACAAATATGGGATTAAAATATGTTGCATTGGCAGGAAGGGAAGGAAATGGAGGAAGGAACTATGGTGGCATTTTTTCATGACCCAGTGTAGTGCTAGGAGAGCACATGAAACATTTGAACTTCACCTCTGAGTAGTAAGTGATTGTGATGGTTTCAGTCTAGGCCTTCCTGGAGACCAGCTTGTAACCAGGAAGGAACTAGGAAAGTGACCAAGGAAGTATTCCATGCTATTCCTTTACGTAACCTGGGGTATAAATAAGGCATAGATAAGAGAGCTCGCTCTCTTCCTTTCCGGCGAGGTTCGAGAACGGTGGGTCCCTGTCTTGGTCTGGCTTATCTGGAGCTGAGGCCTACAGTGACTGCTGTTGTCTGCCATGTGTGAAGGGAGAGTGCTGGGCCACGTCCAGACGTCCTGCTTCTCTCAAGGGAAGTGGTGAGATTTTGCCAGTTCTTTAGTTTGCTGGTTACCATGTTTTTAGATCGTGTAGACTTGTTTTGTTTTTGTCCCTTTCATCCTATTTTGTCCTCTTTCCCTTCTCCCTTCCCCTCTTCCCTTTGGGAAGCTATTTGGGGTTTCTGGGGTTATAGATATATATAATATTCTCACTGTATATATCTGTTTTAAATGTAAAATATATTTTTACTATAGCTTTGGTTGTTTGGATTTTTTTCCTTCCCTCTCTGGGAAGTAGGTCTTGTTGTCAAGTTTTGGAGACTTGGCGGGAAGCCAGCTCGAAACTTGCACAGTGATTTGCTCCCAGTCAGACCTTCTGCATCCTGCTTAAATCAAGTGTTTCACAGGAGAATACCAATCAGATGATCATGTACAGGGACATACATGCTTTCAGTAGAGCTGCCTGTGGGATGGCAGATGAAATTGGCTTATGTCCGTGATGTCCTTTAAACTGGGCTGCTAGCAATTAAAAAGGCATCGTTTCCTGGAAGAGCTAGATTCAAATGTCACATTCTAAAGGGATTCTTTGTGCATATCTCTGCCTTGTTAAATCAAACCTGTACTGGTTTAAGACTTTTTCTGGTTTGCAAGTATTCCTGTCAATAGAAAAGTTATTAAAAAACCCCCAAACAGGAAACAACCAACCCCCCTACAATCCAAAATCATCCCCTTTCCCCCCCAAAATGCCAACCAACCAGCTCCTCGTCCCCAACTACCTGTGCAAGTATCTATCTTTATTGTAACAGCATGGTGGGAGCAGTACAGTTTTCTGCTGTGGATGGTCTGACTTTTTATACTAGTAAAAGCAATTACACAGTTCTGCCTTTATTATTGTTTTTAAACTCATACTTGCAGAACAATCTATTTAAGATGTTATTACCACCCCTCGCAGAACTGCCAAGAAGGAACCACGAACGTTAGTTCACTGTACATACCTGAGTGCAAACCTGCCTCCACCAGTGATGTGAACTGAAATGTAAAACACAGGGATACATGAAATTAATGGGAATGGTGCAATGTGTTAGACTTCTGCAACAAGGTTTATCAGAGCTGCTCTACGGAGTCCTGAATTATGTCTGCACACTGATGATATACCAGATGTCACATTAATTACTTTCTAGTGGTATAGTTTTCAGTTAAACTATTTCCCAAACTGATGTAGTTACATTAGTATACTATTCAGTGTTGAGTAGATCAAATTTCCTAACACTTTAATTAAATTGGTACTTAATTCTGTGGAGAAGACTTTGCTGAAGTTTGACTACGTTTTTGTCTTTTTAAGCAGAGCTGCAGCATAACTGGTTGTAATGATAGTTTGACTTTACTTTTATCTTAAAAGTGCATGACCAAGATGGAATTTCTGAAGATGTCGCAGAACTGAAGTGTGAGCATGTGTATGATTAAAATAACTCTCCCCCACACACTTTTTCAGCTTTCTGAAACAAAAGTCTTCACTGCTTCCTCTGTTCCAGCTGAGAATCATGTGACTCCTAGGCAGAGGTAAGCTCTTCTTCCACGGTTTCCCTATACCTTAAAAACTTTCTGCTTGGTGAAGCAATGCTAGCTTGCACATATAAAATGTTGACTAAAACACAGGGCAGCCTTGGTCAGAGATTGGTCAAACTAGTTTCAAAATTGCGAAAGTCTTGCTTTTGTGGGTTCCTGTGTTACCTATTATTGACTACAGAAGTGGAGTCAAACTTACCAAATCTGTGAACACAATACTGACAAGACCCTGTCTTCTGCACAAAGACTGCTTATAGGCAGGAACAAAAGTAACCTGGAAGAAAACTTTGGTGCTGTTGAAAGGGAAGCTCTGGCTTTGCTGTCCAGAAAATGAAAACCCTGCCCCTGTAGATTCAGAAAGTGTTCAGAGCATAGTGCTTTGACAAATATGTTGACAGAAAAGCTTGTGTTGCTTACCAGGAAAATCTCTTTGCCATCACAATTTCTTCCCTTAACTGATGATATAGAATTCAGATAGAGAATGAAAAATATGGCAGTTGCTGCCTTTGCTTGCCTTTGTCTTCACCAAATGCCTGGCCAATTATGTGGAATCAATTGCCTGCATTAGCCTCAGAGAGCAGGTTAAGGTAAGACTTCTGTAGTTGGATAGCATGAGATCTGAAAACTAGATGGCCTAATGGTCCCAAACATCCTGATACAGCTGTACTGCTGTACTTCAGACTGCAGCAAAATTTTCCTTATAACATGGGTGTGACCTGGAGGAGGCATGATGCCAGTTGACTTACAGTCTATATTCCATTCCTTTCCTTCTTAAAGGTGATATGGCAGGGGGGTTGGACTAGATGATCTCCAGAGGTCCCTTCCAATCCTAACTATTCTGTGATATGCTCATATGTTCATTGTTTTAATGCAAATATTCTTCCAGTGGATGTCCCTCAAATTATGTTAGAAAATATTTTAGTTCATCAACTAGAATCCTGGTGTTTTGTTTTGTGTTTTTTTTGGTTTGGTTGTTTGGTTGTTTTTTTACTTGCCATAAGAAAGGCTTGGACATTGAGAAATCTATGCTAATCAAAGTGCTGGAAGCAGCTCTTCAGCCCAAACCTGTGGTATATTTAGGATAAACTTAAATCAGAATTTTTTAAGTAGATTGTTTTATTGTCTGAATACTTTGCTTTTCTTTGGATAAACCTGTGTTAAACATGTGTAGGCATTAGTAAACCTTGTTAAATGTAAGAAAATTCACATTTCTCATCCTGCTCAGGTATGTGTGGCAGAGTAATTTTGGATATGTGCCTACTATAAAAAACTTAGCTTTTATTTCTGCTGCTCTTGTGACTTCCATACAATCACATATTTACTCAATTGCTGCATGTGACTTCATTCTTTACTGTCCTAATACCCACCCCATACAAAGGTAGGACTTTTATCCCTTGCTCTTTTTAAAGGAATAGCGTGATATACAGAGAATGTGGATTATTGATACATAATGGGTTTGCAGCTTAAATACAATGTATCTTTTATGACTTTTCTCCAGTTACTTGGTTGTATTAATCATATAGGTTATTTATGTGATACATGATGTTATAAATTTGATAATGTTTGAAATGAGAGCAAAGACAATTTATATTCTAGCTGTAATGGTAGGTTTCAGCTAGCAGAATTTTCTGGCAAAAACCTCTATTCTGCCTCTTTTGAATGGCAGACAAGCAATATTTGAAAAGACTGTTAATCAGTAATAATTCTGTTGCTGGTACAGCAGCTTTAGTATTGTTTGTGCTTTCTTCAGTTTTAGCACAGTCTAATCATTGTGTTTATTCCAAACTTTTCTTTGTCTTATAGCATTGATTTGGTAACACTGTTTCAAAAGCCTGAAAAGCCTGTGACCTTTACCCAAGAGACAGAAGGCAACTCATTTGAGGTTCCCCAGCAGCAGACCTTTGGCCAAGCCCTAGTCTTCACAAATTCTCAGCACAGCACCCAGATGGCATCAGGAAGTGGCAACTCCAGTGCTGTAAACTCTTATTCTCCTCAAAGTCTGGTAAAATTATGTTATGCTTTCTAAATATTCTTCATGAGTAAATATTTCAGGTTAAATAACTTTTCCAGTACAGGTCATATCATGAGATGTTTCAGTATTTATAAAATTCAGGTTGCAGATGTTGAAGGAATTCTTAATTCTATTCCTTCCATTCACACACACACACAAAATAGAGATTACTTTTTCTTTCTGGTTTTGCTAAGTAGTTGTTTCTTGGTTCACATGAAGTACTTGTATTAATTTTTGAGTAGAGAGCAGATGCGTTTACTGCATGCGTATTTAGGATGAAATCACTTGTTTATAGTGAAGAGTTCTATGCCAGAAAATTGTGATGTGTTATTTGCAAGCACATATCTGACTGCTTTTTGTGAAAACCTAATTATTTCTGAGTCAATTGTGAGGGCTTGAAATTGGGCACTTGAACTGATTTTCAGAGAATAAATGAAACTATGAGTAAATACATGCTATTTTGAGATGCATGGTTACAGAAAATCAGTATTGTAATCAGTGATGGAAGTTGTATCAGTGATAACCAGAGAGGATCTGGTCATATGCTCCAACTGCTGATTTTTTTACTGGTCATAAACTAAAACACAAGAAGTGCCACCTCAACATGAGGAAGAACTTCTTTCCATTGAGGGTGGGAGCACTGGAACAGACTGCCCAGGGAGGTCATATAGTCTCCTTCTCTGGAGACATTCAAAACCCACCTGGACGTGTTCCTGTGTCACTTGATCCAGGTGACCCTGCCTTGGCATGGGGGTTGGACTGGATGATCTCCAGAGGTCCCTTCCAACCCTAACAATTCTGTGATTCTGTGATTTATTAGTAATCTAGGACTGAAGAGGTTTTAGTTGCTGATAAATACCAGCTGTAGGCATTGATCCTATGGTTATGTTCAAATTATTTATTAAATACACACCTCCACTCTTTCCCTTTTTTTTTTTTATTTTTTTGTGTCTTTTGGTAGTCTGCAGTTCTTTGTTCTGGCTTTGGTGAACTTGGGTCCTCTAAATTGACAAACTCTGCTGGATCTCAAATCTTGGACCAATTGAAATCTCCAGGTTTGGGTCAGTTTACCTCTCAACAAAACAATAATAGTTCTACCACCACTACCACATCATCCTGGGATTTAAAACCACCCATTACTCAGTCCTCAGTCCTTAGTCAGTTTGGTAAGTGCTTTGACATAGCTTTCTCTCTCTGTTAGTCTATAAGATTTCTTAAAGCAAATAACAGTTTAAAATGGCCTTAAATGAAAAGCTTTTTTAAAAAACCGTAATCCTAATAATGTAATTGGTTACAGTATTGTAAGTGTTACACTTAGTCACTGGTAATAGACATTACGAGTATTAAACCTATCTATAAATGTCACTGAATCTTTAGAGGTTGTTGAGCCTTCATGTAGTGACATCTTTGATTTAATATGTTTGAATATTTAAGTGGAACTTTGATGTGACTTTGTGTTGTGATATAATCCCAGCCAGCAGCCAAGCCCCATGCAGCTGGTCGCTCACTCTTCCACCAGTGGGATCTGGGAGAGAACTGGAAGGGTAAAAACTGGAAAACTCGTGGGTTGAGATAAAGACAGTTTAATAGGGAAATGTCTTGGGTGGGAGTGGAAGGCTTAGACAAAATTTATTATAAAAGTCCTGCCGTTGAGTCACGAGGTGCAGAAAGGACTCCTTTGCTTTCGAAACCCCTGCTCAGAGAGGAGCCTAGGTGCAACTGAATCCTATCTTAGCCTCAGATTATGTCAACAGTTTAAATTTAAAGAATTACAGAGGTGTGATTGAACCAGTTTTGTCCCACAGGTTTTATTGATTAACCAAAGGAGAATATTTATATAAAATGAATCATTTATTATTACAAATGATCAGACAAAAGATCTTAATCAGAATTATTTACTACACAACAATATAAATGCTAAAACTACTAGTAGTATAGTATAAGATAGGATAATGCACTATATTGAAGCAATTATTAAAGCAATTATAGTAAAGCTAGCAAAAAGAAATAATTATTAAGTAGAGATTTGATGTAACTCACCCATACCAATGCTCATGGGGAGATCTCTTCCTCTTAACCTCGAGGAGTGTCCTTGTAGGGCATCCCCACCCAAGGGAGGAATCTCCACACATACACCCCAAGAAGGGTTATGTTAGAAGAATCTGACTATATTAAAGGGGACTGGACTTTTATAGTATAAAGTGATTAACTGCTAGTCACACAAATTAACAGTCCAGCTACCAGCTTATCTGTCAAATCCTGTTTCAACAGCAGGATGTGTATTCAAAGTCTGGTGAACCAGGCTGGTTTTAGTATAATCAACATCAAGACAGCACCCTGGCGCAAGCAGTTGAACTTGCATGATGGCTTGCATGATGGTTTGCATTGTATGCATTCTCTGATTGGATTTTAGGTCTGATTGGGGTAGGCTCTCCTGCCACAGCAAAGCAAAAGCCATGCACACAAGCAAAGCAGAACAAGGAATTCATTCACTGCTTCCCATGGACAGGCAGGTGTTCAACCATCTCCAGGAGAGCGGGGCCCCATCATGTGCAACGGTTACCCAGGAAGACAAACAGTATCACTCCAAATGTCCTCCCCTTCTTCCTTCTTCCCCCCACTTTATATACTGAGCATGATGCCATATGGTCTGGAATATCCCTTTGGTCACTTGGGGTTGGTCACCTGTCCCAGCTGTGTCTCCTCCCAGCCTCCCATGCATCCCCAGTCCCCTCCCCAGCATGGCAGTACAAAAAGCAGAAAAGGCCTTGGCTCTGTGCAAGCCCTGCTCAGCAATAACAAAGACATCTCTATCCTATCAACCCCATGTTCAGCACAAATCCAAAACACAGTCCCATACCAGCCACTGGGAAGAAAATTAACTCTACCCCAACCAAAACCAGCACACTTTTTTTCTCAACAAATCCTGAAAAATACCCATTTCCAGTGTGCCTATGTTGCTTCTAGGTTGCACCATATTTTGTCTTTTTCCCCAATTTTTTCTCTTCTAATCATTCCATTAATTTTGAGTGAGTACTATATAATTTCTTCACAATGTGCATCACATCTCAGTGTTCTTTCCCTAGTGTGAAGTCTATGTGTGCTGAAAATGATGCAGGTTAAATGATGCATTTTGTCTATTCATAATTGTATGGATTTTTCATTTAATTCAGTAAAATTAGTAGAAAGAGTAAAAATGACACAAACTTGGGTTTTGCAGTGTAGTTCCTAGCACTATTCTCACTGTGAAGAGTGATAGGTCTTGTATCTCTCTTGTGTGTATGCTTCCAGATAGGTAAGCACCCAATTTGGTAGCAGTTATAATATTTGACATGCAGAAATTCTGAAAAAATTTTTATGTACATTTTAAGTTTCTTTCTAATGTACTTCAACTGGATAAAAGAACCTTCACACTGCAAATGCTGTGAATCTCTTACAGTTGTTGACCAGTGCTCTAAGACACTTTTGGTGTCTGAAACTATGAAAGGGGAAGTCTTGGGAAAAAGTCTGTCGGCATCCAGTGTCTCTTGACTTTCAGCCATATTGAGATGGTAGATGACTTCCTATTTGTGTTGAAAATCTCATTTGTAGGGGCAGGGGAACTCTAACTCATAATACCACTAAGTTGCAACTCCAGACCCCTTGAAAGTAGTCACATTTTATCAGCACAGTCAGTTGCAGTGAAACTTGCAGTGTTTGACTAAAATAATCTATAACAGTTTTTGAGGCCTAATGTGTGATACTGTTACATGACTATATGAATAGGTTTGGGTTTATATTTTTTAAGAAAGCCAAGGTAAGCAGCTCTGGTGCAGGTGCATTTTGCAACGGAGCAGGGGATCTATGAGGGGGGTGTTGGTGATGGTGTCCTGAGCTGGGGAAACCCCAGGAGAATGCTGAGACTGGCAGCTTGCATGAGAGTGGCTGACGAGGCATGGACAAGGCCTTGAGTAATGGCGGCTACCCCCTGTGGCACTTCAGCCAGGGCATGGTGTGGCAGGTTGTGTGGGAGGGCATGCAGGAAGGGTGCTAAGGCCCTGCCAGCTCAACCAGGGAGCAATGGTATCCACCTGGCAGATAGCCACGGCCTCTCTAAGCTCTGCACCCACCATGACTGAAACAGCTGTCTAGGCAGAGCTCTGATGGGAACATGCTGCTACCCAGGTGTCAGGCTGCAGGGTGGGTCCTGCTCTTATGCCAGTATTGGACAGCAGTAGTGTGAAAACCTGTGGGAGATGTGCCCAGGTAGAGAAACTCCTCAGCTTAGTGACAGAGTTCCAGGAGGAGGTGAGTAGGTTGAAGAGTATCAGGGAGTGCAAGAGAGAGACTAGTGGAACCAAACCCTACCTTTCCTGGGACAGGCCCAACAGGCAGACAAGACACATGATAGAGAAGATTTCCTATCTTCTTTCTGCTTGGCTTAACATGGTGACTTAAAGGATAGGGGGTAATGGCGACAAGTTCCTAACCAATGCAGCAGGCACGTCTCATCTGTGACTACCCCACCTCCCCAGGTGCCCTGGCATAATAGGTACAAGGCTCTGCAAGTGGAACTGAACAATGACAAAGGACAATAGTATATCTAGCATGGAGGTGTCGCTGAGGTTAAGTCAGCCTATGCCCTGCATCAAGACTGCTTCCATAAAGAAAAAAAGACCAGTCATTGTCATAGTAGACTCCCTTCTGAAGGGAACAGAAGGCCTCATATGCAGACTGGACCCACTTCTTAAAGAAGTCAGCTACCTCCCTGGGGCCCAGGTAAAAGATGTGGTGAGAAAGCTTTCTATGCTGGTGTGACACTCAGATTATTGATTTTTTCAGGTAAGCAGCAATGAAGTTGCAAGGGCAATCAAGAGAGACTTCAGGCCCTTGGGGTGACTGGTTAAGGGATCAGGAGCACATGAAGTGTTCTTCTCTGTCCTTCCAGTTGCAGACAATGATGAGGGAAGAAACAGGAAGAGCCAGCAGATTGATACCTAGCTCTGAGCCTGGTGTCACCAGCAGAATTTTGTTTCATTTTGATCACGGGTCAGTTTACATGACACCAGGCCTACTGGCAACAGATGGGTTCACCTGTCTCAAAGGGGGAAAAGGATCTTTGCACAGGAGTTAGCAGGGCTCATTGAGAGAGCTTTAACTAGATTCGAAGGGGGAAGGGGATAAAGCCAGGCTCACTAGAGAGAAGCCTATGGGCAGCACACCAATGTTTGACATATGCTGTGCCAGTGAGGTCCTTTGGTCTGCCACCTCAGTGGAGGTAGGGGATGGAGATCCATGTGGTAGCAAAGACACAAGGGTTACTGATGTGTTAGAAATCCCAGAAGTGCCTGAGAATGATCACACACGAATTGGGGCTTCTCCCCCCCAAAAAAGTGGCATGACTGAAGTGGATCTACACCAATGCCCACAGCATGGGCAACAAACAGGAGGAGCTAGAAGCCATTGTATAGCAGGAAAACTATGACATAGCTGCCATCATGGAAACATGGTGGGATGATGATTCACACAACTAGAAAGCTGCAATGGATGGCTATAAACTCTTCAGAAGGGACAGGCAAGGAAGGAGAGACGGAGGGTAGGCCTGTGTGTTAGGGAATGTCTTGATTGTCTGGAGCTTGATGATGGTGACAACTGAGTGTTCATGGGAAGGAATGTGAGGGAAGGCCAACGAGGCAGATATTGTGGTGGGAGTCTGTTATAGACCACCCAACCAGGATGAAGAGGCAGAGAAAAAATATTCTATAAGCAGCTGGGGGAAGTCTCATGATCAGTGGCCCTTGTTCTCATGGGGGACTTCAACTTGCCAGATGTGTTCTGGAAATACAACACAGCAGAGAGGAAACAGTCTAGGAGATTTCTGGAGTGTGTGGAAGAGAACTGACACAGCTGGTGAGTGAGCCAACTAGGAAAGGTGTCCCACTGGACCTATTGTTTGTGAACAGAGAAAGACTGGTGGGTGTTGTGGTGGTCAGAGGCTGTCTTGAGCACAGTGACCACGAAATGATAGAGTTTTGGATTCTTGGAGAAGTGAGGACAAGGATTAGCAGAACTGCTACCTTGGACTTTCAGAGGGCAGGCAGACTTTGGCCTATTTAGGAGACTGGTTGATGGAGTCCCTTGGGAGGCAGTCCTGAAGGGCAAAGGGGCCCAGGAAGGTTGGACATTGTTCAAGAAGGAAATCCTAAAGGTGCAGGAGCAGGCTGTCCCCATGTGCTGAAAGACAAGCCGACGGGGAAGACCACAGGCCTGGCTGAACAAAGAACTTTGGCTGGAACTCAAAAGAAAAAGAGTGTATTAACTTTGGAAGAAGGGGCAGGCAACTTGGAGGACTACAAGGATGTTGGGAGGAAATTAGAAGGGCCAAAGCCCAGCTAGAACTTAATCTGGCTACTGCCATAAAAGACAATAAAAAATGTTTCTATAAATATATCAGCAGCAAAAGGAGGGATAAGGAGAATATCCTTAATTGGGTGTGTGGGGAAACATAGTGAGAAAGGATGAGGAAAAGGCTGAGGTACTTAATGCTGCCTTTGCCTCAGTCTTTAATAACAAGACCGGTTGTTCTCAGGGTACCCAGCCCCCTGAGCTGGAAGACAGGGACAAGAAGCAGAATGAAGCCCACATAATCCAAGGGCAAATGGTCAGCAACCTGCTACACCACTTAGACACACACAAGTCCATGGACCTGGATGGAATCCACCCAAGGGTACTGAGGGAGCTGACAGAAGTGCTCACCAAGCCCCTTTCAATCATTTATGAGCAGTCCTGGCTAACCAGGGAGGTCCCTGAAGACTGGAGTTTAGCAAATGTGATGCCCATCCAGAAGAAGGGTTGGAAGGAGAATTTGGGGAACTTCAGACCTGTCAACCTGACCTTGGTGCTGGGAAAGGTCACTGAGCAGAACATCTTGAGTGCCATCATGCGCCAGGTACAGGGATGAGGGAAAGGCTGTGGATGTGTCTATCTGGACTTTAATAAAGCCTTTGGCAATGTCTCCCACAATATTCTCCTGGGGAAACTGACTGCTCATAGCTTGGACGGGTGCACTGTTGTCTGGGTCCATAAGTTTGCAGACAATGCCAGGTTGGGTGGGAGTGTTGATCTGCTAGAGGGTAGGAGGGATCTGGACAGGTTGAATCAATGGTTCAAGGCCAATTCTATGAGGTTCAACAGTGCCAAGTGCTGGGTCCTGCACTTGGGTCACAACAACCCCATGCAGTGCTACAGGCTGGGGACAGAGTGGCTGGAAAACTGCCTGTCAGAAAAGGACATGCTTTGACAGCCAGCTGAACATGAGCCAGCAGTGTGCCCAGTGGCCAAGAAGGCCAATGACATCCTGGTTTGTATCAGCAATAGTGTGACCAGCATAACCGGGGAAGTTATTGTCCCTCTGTACTTGGCACTGGTGAGGCCACACCTTGAATCCTGTGTCCAGTTTTGGGCCCCTCACTTCAAGAAAGAAGTTGAGGGGCTGGAGCAAGTCCAAAGAAGGAAATGGAGCTGGGGAAGGGGCTGGAGCACAAGTCTTATGAGTAGTGGCTGAGGGAGTTGGGGTTGTTTAGCCTGGAGAAGAGGATGCTCAGGGGGGACCTTATTGCTCTCTACAACTACCTGAAAGGAGGTTGTAGCCAGGTGGGGGGTGGTCTCTTCTTCCTGGTAACAAGTGACAAGACGAGAGGAAATGGACTGAAGTTGCACTAGGGGAGATTTAGATTGAATAGTAGGAAAAATTTTTTCACAGAAAGGGTTGTCAAGCATTGGAAT